ATGATGATGATGATGATGATGATGATGATGATGATGATGATTGTACAGGAAAGAACCATAGGCCTTGGGTTAAGGAGGCAATTGGGCTCCTTTTGAATTTGATGTAATGTGATCAATTATGTTATCCTTTGGACATTGGCTGTTTTTATATAAAGTTGTTTCTTTTAACTCATGAAGCCATCCACAATTGTTCTGGGGTTGGACAGCCTAGCAGTGTATTCAACCAATCAATCAGCCAATCAACTCTTCTGCCTGAACTTCCCATGCAGTCTATTCTGCCACAGTGTGGGAGTTTATACATAGATAATCTCTCCCTTACTGCCCTCCTGCCTCTAGCTGGTATCAGCCACATGCTTGAAAATGTGTTTTTCAATCTAATAACGTAGTAGAGGATGTCTAGGCTAAGGCAAAGCGATTTGTATACCTTGATTCTGTTCATAGATATTATTTTTTCCCCATTGCAGAATTTTTTGGCTGGGTGTAATAACTCCTCCTGCCCTGCGCATCTGTGTTCTTGAAAGAAGTTGAAACAGTGATTGAATATCTTTAATAACTCAGCCTTTGGAGCTTCACTGTTATGTATATTAATGACCCTTCGTTTTGTGTCTCTTTCAGATAGTTCTCAGCTACATGGTAAAGGGTCCAATGCGCAGCCACGGAAATTGTGACAGTTCTGAAAAAGAGAACACAACCAACCCTGGAAAAAGCCTGCAAAATTAAGCAGTGGAGCCCTCCCATTGCTTACTTGCTATTCCTTCTTCAGTGGAATTGATCTGTAGGTTTCCCCCCAGTTTGGACCAGATTCTTTCCATGGGGCTCTGAGCCTTATGCTGAGAAAGGAAGCACTTAGCAGGCCCGACTCTGGGAGCTGCTCTCACTTCAGTTGCTCCAGGGTCCAGGTCAGGGGGAGGAGAGAAGAGATGCGCACGGATCTCTAGACGCCAAGTCCTTGTGTTCCTGCCAGGTGCCTCCTTAATTCTGCAGGGGATTCTGTAAAGGCCCTTGTTTCTGCTTGTGGATATACTGGCTAATTTTAAGCTCAGCCGAGAGTGAATCTGTGGGGTGTGTTTCTCCTCCCTGATGGCACCTTTAATAAAGCTTTGCTGATCCTTCCCCAGAAGATCTTTCTTTCTCTTGGCAGCTCAGAGGTCCTCTTGGAAGGAAAGCCAAGACTTGAGAGGCCTCAAGATGCACTCATGAACCTTGAATGCAATTTGGGCTCTTTTTGTTCTGTTTCCCTGCCTCTTTCTTTCCTCTACAGGCTCAGTTCTCCCCTTCTCTCCACTCTGCCACTGAACACATTGGATTGGACTAAGCCCTTTTCCCCACGTGTCATTGTGTATAACGAAGCTGTAATTTCAGTGCCTTTTTATGGTGGAGCAAGAATGCAAACTATTCCAAGCTCTTTTTGGTGTGAGCTCTCCAGAGCTTTTTAATGTTCTCCTTTTTTAAACATCCTTATCTGTTATTTAAGATGCATTGGGATTTATTTAATGGAAACTTGGGGGGCGGGGAGGGAGAGGTTGCACATCATTATCCCCGCTTAACTGTGCTTTCTGGTGAGTGCCCATCGGTACTGGTGATGGGCATTTCCCTGAAAGCTGTCGGCTGTCTGCCAAGAGCTCTCTAAGTGTTTTGCAAATAGAGTCAAGGCGGGAGCTTCCTCCTTTGCTGCATTGGCCGAAGGCGCATCACCCATTTTATGCATTCAGTGATCTGATGTGGAGGCACCTGGAGTTGCCTGTTTGTGCCTGGAACAGCTGGGAGAGCCTTTCTTACGCTCTGAATGGGAGATGCGGAGACTCGATTTTACTTCAGGACCTAAGTAATTTCCTGAGTAGATTCTTTTCCTTCTTTCTTAAGCTGCTTAGTTGCAACCCATTTTGCCTGGCTGCAGACCCTTTGAAAGCCAACCAGTTGCTCTGGATTGGTTCTGCTTTGGTGCTGTCCTAAAGGTTTGGGGCAGATCCTCCTTATTTTGATGCAGCAACTGGTCTGGAGGTTAATTTGAAATAAAGCTAATGACCCAGATTCTTGGCTTGGCTTGTAGCTGTTTGACACTCCAATGTGCTGCATGTTCTGGGAAAAAAATGCCTTAGAAGAGGAGAGGAGTAAGATGACAGCTCAAACACCAGTTATCCCGTTTTTATGGAACAAAAAGCTGCTTGAGTGCTCCGTACAAGGCACGTTAAACTAATAGCTAGTTGCTATTCTTCAGCCTGAGTCGCAGTCTTTTCTTGCAAACTCTAAAACTAAACTAAAAGCTTGACAGCCCAAATTGAGGTCTGTCTGTGGCCAGAAGAAACTATTTCTCACACCCTCTTCTTCCATCTTTACCCCAATTAGCTGATTCTTCCACTGAAACAGAGAAAGCACTTGATTCACAAATTAGTTGAACCCTTTTAAAAAGTCACAGCGAGTTCTATTTCATTTGAGAACCCCGCAGCTTAGGAAACAGTTCTTTTCTTGGACGGAAGTTCTTTAGGATTCTAGGTTAACCTGTGCAGAATTGTTTAAGTCTTTTGCTTTTGCCTTTTTTTTTTTTTGCAAAAGATAATTTTGGCCTTGTTTGCCACAATCATTTCTTTTTTTAAAACGTTGCAGCGGAAGAGCCAAAGACTGCATTTTAAGGTTGCCAGTTTTGAAGCACAGACATTTTTAAGTACGTGGGTTTTGGGGAGGGGGGGTTCTGTTTTGTCAGAGCTCAGTCCTACTATATGTTAGTTACCTCTCAAGAGCTGCTTTATCAGTCATAGGAACGAGTGTTTGGCACTTGGCAGAATTTGGGCCTTGCATGAGCCATTTAACCTCCCCCTTTGCTCTTCCCCCGAAAGCTTTGGTTGCTACGTGTATTGGTGCCATAGCTGGAGCAGAACCCCTTTGTCTATTTAAAAAGAAGAAAAAAAAACCTTCACAAAGCCTCTTGCCTCAGGGAAATGTTACGTGGTGGAAATTCTGCCCAATTTCTTCCCCTCCCGCTTCCCTCCCTCCCTCCCCCTTTTCCTTTGTGTTTTAAGAAGTAGAACTTAAAAGCAAGCCATGGCAGGGCAGGATCAAAGAGCGGCGGGCGGGTGGTAAGAGGTTGCAAGCAGAGCTGCTCACCAGGGGTGTGTCTACCTTGGCTTTGACTATTTGGGGAGATTTTGTTTACGGTGGGCATCAGCCCCACCCGACAGCACTTAAATTTTAAAAAGCAGTCTCTGCGTGCAGAAAGAGCTGCAATTTATTTTTGTGTGTTTGGGAGAAGGGGGGGGGTGCTGGGGAAAAGGCAGCCTTTGTAGGAAATAAGGAAGGGGGGGAGGTGAGATTGAAAATGATTAATCTTGTATACTGCAACTGAATAAAATTGGTTTGGTTTTTTTTTTCCAGAACGCTTGTTTTCATTTACTCCAAAGGGAGGGTTGGGGAGGGGGGTCTGCTTTGTGGCAGAGCCACCGTATGAGATGCGAAACCCCCTTGGCGCCTTCACTGAAAGGAGATGTCAGGCCTAAGATCCTGGAAGCTGCTGGTCTGCCTTGTCAGCCTTCCCCAACCTAGGCCCTCTCTGGGTGGAAGGAACTCAACTCCCACAATTCCCCAGCCAGCAAGGTCTTTGCTGAGAATTCTGGGAGTTAACGATCTGCAGATCTGGCAGGTGCCAAGGTTGGAAAACACAGCTGTAGGCGTATGGCATTTAGCTCCCAGCCTAGCAATTGTTGAGAATTCTAGTGCACCCAAGTTTCCTGCAAAAGTTTAGTTAGTGTGCCCAAGTTTCCTGCAGGGAGCTGGAGAGGGTGACAGAGGAATATTCCCAAATTGCCAGCTGAGCTGAAGACCAGGATTAGGGATGGCTATACCAAAGCATGTTTGGGACCTGCAGCCTGCACCTCTTGTGCCTATTAGTATATATTTTGCAAGAAGGCACCTAGGGCCAAATTATAGGGCCCTGAAGTTCCCCACCCCCCAACACTTCCTGTCAGTCCTAGCATGCCTCAATCTGGTTCTGGAATCACAGCAGTCAGTGACACCCCAGAAAAGAATCAGCTTAATTTATGATAACAAACTAATATTCTCAAACTGCTCTATTTCTGCATCTGCCTGGCGCCGTGCGATGCATCTCTTCAGAGTTTCCATGAAGATGTCAAAGGATGCCATCTATATTTTTTGTACACTCGAGCGTATGAATGCAGTGCCTGTGATTTTCATTTACCCATAGAAAGGCGAAAGATTTAAAGAATCATTAGCTTATTAGATCACTTCTTTATTATAACTGAGGGGTAAAAATAACATTTCCCATTTCCCTTCTCCGACAAATACGTGAATACATACAATCAAATATAAGTAAGCAAAACACCAGTGCTTGCGTCTTACAAGTGAGACTTTGGGGGAAAAGGCACTTGGAATCGGTAATGGTTCTCTACTAATCTCCCCTTCCTTTTTAAGGATAAGAGCCAATCTCTATCTAATGTGGCCTGCAAGATAAAACCACCTTCAAACAGGCATATACATACATACATCTTTACTGCCTTAAAATTTGACAACTGCCATATAATGTAGTTAAAAGACCCAAGATCCAGCATCTGACAAAATGCTAGTTGGATCCTGGTGTGATGGTATCATTTCTGTAACCGTCTCAAATTGTATTTTAATGCCAGTTCATCATTTTAAATCGCCTTTCACTTGCCCATTTCAATGACTGACTATGAAGCATCTGCGACAGGCCTAACACCAGCTGGATCTTCCTTTGGATAACGTCCTAACCTTTAAATGATATCCAGAAGAAACAAACCAGTTTACGCAGTTATAATAATGTCTAGATAATGCTTTAAAGTGCTCAGAGTTTCCCATACGCTGTATTAACTTTAAAATAACTCGGTAAGGTAAGAATAGCGTTCTCCCCACACTGCAGTAAGGAAATAAAAGCATCTCGTCAAGGGCATCTAATTCTGAATTCATGGTGATGGGACTTCCCCAGATTTCACTTTGACCCTCAGCCATTTCACAGGATATTATAGTTGCGGGAATGAGAATTTGAGATGCCAAACTGAAAGAATGTGCAGCGATAACCCAGACTAGACGAATGTTGGATTACATGCTGCCCCCGTGCCAGGAAGGCACTTCATCATTGTTCGGACAAGAGCAACTTGCAACCTTGACAAAAATGCAGGTGCAGAATCTTTTGATTCTGGCAAGATGTATGCGTTGACATAAAGCTTAAGAGCGCCCAAACGTTGAAAAAGACGCCCTAGGTTTTGGCATATAGACCTGAGGGAAGCATTAAATAGTAAACATCTGGATTTGTAACAATACAGCTCAGGACCAGCTTAAAAAGAGTTTTGCTATGTTGAGAGTGAAGAGGTTATTTTTGTCCAGATACCAAAACAGCCAGCTCCTGAATAGACATTTCCTTGTTGAGGTAACTGTCATACTCAGCCATAGTTAATCTTCCACTCTTCAAGGCATCTTCAATAGAGAATTTCCTCCCTGATTTCCTATCCAAGATGATAGAAGATTCACCACTAGGCCCTTTCACTGTGATCTCTTCCCAATCACATTCTTGACTTTTCAACTTGACATACAAGCCCCATTCGATAAGCCCACATCGGTGGGCTTCTTCTGGAGACATCTCTTTCCCTGTGTCGGGGTCAATGACGACAATAGAGCGTCTCAGGTGATTTTCTCTCTGCTCCCTCTTGATAGCGACTGTCTGGAGACGGTTATGAAGCTGTTCAATCTCATCATCTTTTTCTTGAGATAATCTTTTCAGCTCTCCCAGTTCGTTCTCCAAAGTCTGGAATCTTGAATCTAGATTTATACCTCTATCCATCAGTGCCATGTTCTTTAAATCGTTGGCTTCCATCACAGTGAGCTCAATTTCTGACTGCAACCTTCTCATCTCCAAAAGAAGGTTCTGCTTCTCCATGTGAAGCTTGTGGTTTTCCTCTCTCAAAAAGTCTAATTCTTTGGAAGATTTGGAATTGTTAAATTCCATTTCAGATAGTTTGGCCTCCAACCTATTAATATCTGCATCCAGTTCCATTTTCCGTCGGCTTTCCTCTTCTAGATTGTTCTTCAGCTTCTGAATTTCATACTCAGTATCTCCCTTCTCCACTTGGACGCTCTCTGAAAATACCACTTTCTCCTTGACCTCCATCTTCTCTAGCATCTGCAGTTTCTTCCGCAGGGCTTCCAGTTCAGCTTGCAGGACCTGTTTCTTATGTTTTTCCTCTTCCAGCTCCAACTTAAGTAGAGTGTGCTCTTTCTCCTGCTGTGGATCTTGTTGAAGAATCACTTTTTGCTTCACGGTTACTCTTTCGGCTGTGTCCTTCTCCTGCTCCTCCAGCTCACTCAGTCTGATCTTCAGCCTTTGCACCTCCAGTTCTGCCTCCCTACGGGCCTGCCTTTCTTTCTCCAATTCCTCCAGCTGGCGCTCCAGTTCTGACCTTCTCCGTTGCAGCTTGCGCATCTCATTCCGGAGCGAGTCTATTTGCTGCAGTTCATTTTCTATGCTCTGTGAGAAGGAATTAATCTCAGCTTTTAAGGTAGGGTCTTGCTCCAGCTTCACCACTTCTTGCTTAACCACTTTTTCCCTCACCTGTGAGAGCTCTTCTTCCTTCTGCCTGATGATCTCCTCCTGTTTCTTCTTCTCCCTCTCCAGGTCCATGTGCTTCTTCTGTTCTTCAATCAATTGAGCTCGCAGGGACTCCACTTCCTCTCTTGTCTGGCGGTCTTCCCGGTACTGCAGTATCTCTTGCAGTACCTCCTTCACTTGGATCTGAGGCTTGGCATCCTTCAGCATCTGGATTTCTTGCTTCAATTGATAAATCTCCAGATCTGCTCTCTCAATTGCTCTGGTCCTATCTACAATCTCATCCCTGAGATGCTGCAGCTCCGCTTCAGTTGCTGGGTCTGTTTTGTACTTAATCACTTCCTTAATTATCTCTTGCACTTCCACTTGAGGTCCTCTGTTCTTCAGAGCGGTCAGCTCATTCTGGCAGGCCTGGAGCTGCTCTTCTCCGCCCTGGTATCGCCTCTCCTGCTCCACCAGTTCTAGGCGAAGGTTGGCCACTTCATTTTCAGCCTGGGGATCTGGGCGAACAATCTCCCGCACTTTCTCCTGGATGATCACTTTGGCGTTCTCCTCCTCCAGAGCCTGGATCTTCCTAAGCAGCTCAGCTTTCTCTCTCTCGTTCATGCGGGCCTTGGCCTTCTCTTCTTCATACTGGCACCGTAGTTCATTCACTTCCCTTTCTGTTGCTAGATCCTTCTCCACTTTCAGCACCTCCTTCACAGTGATCTTGCCCTCCGCCATTGCCCGCTCTTTCTCCAGCCGTTTCAGCTTGGCTTGGAGTAAACGCAGTTCTTCTTCTTGCTGCTGCCTCAGCATGCTCTCCCTCTGCTTACTCTCCTGCAGCTGCTTATACTCAGTCTCCATCTGGGGATCATTTTGCATCTTCACCACCTCCTTTCTGGTCACTTTTCCCTGCTCCTTGCTCTTCTCATTGGAAAGAGCTGCAATCTGGTGACGGAGAAGGACCATCTCATTCTGCCGGCTTCCTTCCTGTCTCTTGAGCTCCTCAAGTTCTTCTTTCAGCTTCAGGATTTCCTCTGCCTGGGCTTTGTCTGGCTCAATACGCAGGACTTCCTTGACCACGTATTCCTGTCCACCTTCTTTTTTCTCATGCTCTAGAGTTCGAAGCTTGAGCTTGAGGGCCTGCAGTTCCTCCTGAAGCCCCTGGTTCTTGCGCTGCTCTTCTGCCAGGTTCTGCTGCATCTTGTGGAAGCTGTCATCCAGCTGTGGGTCAGGCATTTTCTTGACCACTTCCTTCCTGAGAACAATCTCCTGCGGCTTCTGGTTCTGCAGCTGGAGGATGTTCTGCTGGATGACTTTGATCTCTTCCTCCAGATGCTGCCGACATTGGGTCTCATCATCCAGCTCCTTCTTTAACTTCCAGATTTCTTCTAATGGCTTTGTAGGCTTACTGGCCTGTATCGATTTCTCGAGCAAGTGGACATCGGGTTGCTGTCATTGAGCAGAAAACAAACAGTCAGTTCAACCATCTCAACTGAGTCACTATAACAAGAGTGTGCTTCCTCCAACTGGTGCCCTCCAAAAAACTCCCAGAATATGCAGTCATCCTGGCTAAACTCTCTGCTGGTTGGACATCCTGATAGTTGTAGCCTCCACCTCTCTAGAGGGCATCAAGCTTGGGAAGGCTAAGCTAGAGGGTACATTCTCTTCCCCCACTTTAATGCAGATCAAATCTTGCCTGATGTCCAGTTGGTCCTGTTTTATGCATAGTTACTCAGTTGAGGAGATGTTCATTTCTTAGTAACTATAGTTAGGATTGCAGCATTATACTGTCACACACACACTCTTTTTAAAACTGCCTTGCTGGCATGTTCGATCTTTCCCATCATTCCCCTGGATCTGATTTCCTAATTCCCAATATTGAAGGCTTGGGATACTTTGCACAAAGTGAAGGTTTTCTGAAAATGATAAACTCCATCCCAGTTATCTGGGTATTTTATTGTCGGACGTATTTTCTAATTGTACCCATAGCTTGTTGATGCTTATTCTCCTACTGAAATTGCTTGCTGGAAGGCAACATTTGACCATTGTCCATTTTTCCTAACTCCCTAGCATTTCACCACTGTCTTTTTCCAAGGGGCAGTATGAAGTCCTCAGAAACTATTTACCTGTGACACATTAGCATTTGCTTGTTCCTGGAAAAAAAAGGAAGATTTGTGTGTCCCTGCAGGGCTGTGCTTAAACCTTCAAAGGAGGTGCTTTGGAACATACAGGAGCATCTCCTAAATTGTGAAAGCAGCCTTATCTCCCCCCACCCCACCCCCAGACTTGCATCGCTGTTTCAGAAACTACACAGCTATCTTGTTGCACTGGGAAAAACCTGGAGCGAAACGGTTATGCTGCACCCACGTGCAGAAACAGTTTCCGAAATAGCCATGTGAACCTGGAGAAGACAAGGCTGCTTTAATGATTTGGAGAACAAGACACTGACAAGGCTGCTTTAATGATTCGGAAAACAAAAGTCCTCTGCAGCTTTTGAAGCCCTTCTTTCAAAGGATTTGCAGAGCAGTAATCCCAGTTTTTGGGTTGGACTATAAGTTACAAATCTCCTTAGCCTTTTATTTTCAGTACATGGAGGTGTAATGAACGGGTACCTAGGCAGTGTGTCAGAATTAATAGCCTTATAAGTAGGAGCTGCAGCAAAGGGCATACAGGATAGGAAAGGCCTATTTAATGTTCTAGGTGGCTGTGCCCAAATTACTAGTATATTCCTCTTCTTCCCCAAAGGGTCTAGAGCAGGATACAAAACCAACAATCAACAGTAAATGACCTCCCCTAATCTTTGAATTAAAACAAAGGCAATTAGGGCTGCCACTGAGAAGGCCCTGTTAGTGGCCATTCCATTCCACAAAGTTGCATTCGTGAATTTGTGTCTACTGGGTATATTCCAACCTCACGTATCTCATGTATTTATCTCCTTTGCTTTTCTCCCTAAATCTTTTTTTTTTCCCCCTTTATTTCCAGGTGAATGCAAAGTCTGTTGGCCTATGACAGTTTTATTCCCTGCAATTCCCCAATGAGGACTACAAAAGCAAATTAATAGGGTGGGTGAACTTCCATTTTGTGACCAATCTAAAACTGTAACGTCATTGTTCGGGTAAACTAAGTTTCCTGGGATGACTCCTGTAGAGCCCAGGAGTATTATTATGAGTTCTCTCATATTCGGCAGTTTTATTAAAAATTGATCTGTAGGTAGCCATCCATTAACTACCGGTAGAGGTTGGGATCTATCCATAAAAGTTGGGGCATTTTTCTGAGCAAGTAGAGAACAGTTTCTCCCACTTACCTGTTTCAACAAGGTCTGAGCAAACTCCAGGTTCTGCAGTCTTTGCCTATTGATGGCATTGATCTCAGTGAATCTGGCAGCCAGGAGAGCTTCCTGCAAATGGGATATGGATTCATTCAGAGGAGGGCAGGATCAACTGGTAGAATACACTTATTTAGGTTTGTTACCTCTGCCACCTTTGCTCTTTTACCTTTCCTTTTATCTTTTGTCCTGTTTTCTTGTTTTAAATGCATTGAACAATTTGCAAACCGCCTAGAGTCACTGGGACTTGGGAACGTATGATGGTTGGTTGCACAGTCAGCCAGATGTTTAGACTGGATTTGGCATTTTTATCTACCTATC